GGAACAAGGCAATTTCTTGCTGGCTGCGAGGGTCTCGCACCTCTCGGCCTGATCGCGTTTGAGACATTCTAAATTGAATCAAACAGCAAACTTCAAACTCAATGTAACCAGCGTGAAACGCTTCACGACTTAACAAACATTAACTTTTACGACGTAGACTAAAATGTGTCTTCCAAAATTCGAGAGATTTACTATAAGCTGTGAAAAATCAATCAAAGACGCGTTATCTCGGAAACCAAAAATAATTGGTCAATAAAACTTGGAAACCAGATTTTTAACCATGAGTGTACCCTGACAGCACGCTTGTAGGATTGGGAAATTGGCAAGTTTTTTTAAACTATTTTTTTTTGAAAACAATTGAAAATAAATTGAAAAACACAATATTTCTTGAAGGGTAGATTACCAACCACAAATTCTCAGCTGAATAAAAACCGGGACAATAAGAGACTCGAAAAGTTTCAGGGAAAAAACATGGGAAAAAGAAAACAGAATGTGCCAGCGTGAAATGTATCATAGGCCTTTAACTATAGTTAATTGTTAAAATAACTTAAAGCGATGAGAGATGGGTTACGTTTTCTTTGCTTTTTCTCCCATTCAACTAGTGATGTCAGATCTGTTCATTTTTCAACGCAAACCGGAAAACACGAGCTTAACCATTTTTTTCCTTAAACAACTTGATCTAATTTCTCACTTTCATGAACCAATGCTCACAATTAGATTTCTATGTTACCACTCTTGCTAAATATTATATAGAATGGTCAAAAATTCTGGTACCATGTTTAGAAACCTTGCTAGTTAAAACTCGAAATGAGCCGGCGTGAAATGCATCACGGGCTTTTTTCTATCGCTAAGTTTTAACTTAATTCCACACACATTTACTTCGATTTTTAGTTATTGCTACCATTGAACGAAGGATGTCAGAACTGTCCAATTTCCTGCAGCAAAATAGAATAACACACATAAGACAAACAAAATTAGGATGCTTATAACCTGATGTTAATTCTCCGCAATTTGAACTAGTGCTCACAGTTAACAAAATCTGTTACGCTCCGCCATCTTGCTTGTTAATTTATACAATAAAAAAAAGTCTCGTATCTCGATGCATTAACATTGATTTTATATCAAAGTAGGCCAGCGTAAATTGCATAGCCAGCGGGGACCTATAACTGTCGCTACGTGGTTACGTAATTCAACACACTTAGTGCTTAATTTACATCTTTTTAGGCATTAGATAAATCTTTTCTACCTTTTTCAGCCGAAACAGAAAAACACGTCATTTCATATTTTTTGTGTGAATAACTGGTTCTGCTTGTAGTTCTTTGCACTACTGACCACAATATAAAAAGATTTGTTATGCTTGGACATCGCATGCTATTTAGCGTTAACACTGATCAACAAATCTCGCATACCATTGCATATATAACTCGAAGTGTGCCAGCGTGATATCTATCACGGGCTGAAGTGAAGGCAAAACATGACGCCGATCAAAGTCTTTAACTCGCAAGCATATATTAGTTTTAGGGAATCATTACATCTTTTTTTTAATAGGAAAGTCTTTCACCTTTGTTCAGTAGCTTGTTTGGAGATGATGATTGCAATCCTTCAATGTTATTCTTTCCAACTCCGTTAAATCAATATTTTGAAAAGTGACGCAGTATAAAACTGAAAAAAGATTAAAAACTGAAACAAATTATTAAAATATTAAAAATTATAAATTAGCTATGTTAGTGACCTATGGATAGCAACTAACGGTTTGAAAAAATCTATCAAAAAAGAGGCGAAATCGGCAGAGACCTGGGACGTATCACGATTTTACAAAAAAGCCAACTTTTCACTAAAAAACTGATAACACAAAAACTAGGAAGAATTAACCAATGTGCCTCTTTACAATCCCCATTCCAACGTGCTTCTTTGCCTTCTACCCACACTTGAAAGGAGCAAAATTCAGCTGTTGAGTAACAAAAAAAGGAAACAAAATTATCAAATTTTTTGAATAATCAAAAATAACCAACTTTAATTTAAAACGTAGAAAAGACTTTATATGCGTTGGAATACGCATCTCAACAAAGTGAGAAGAATCCAGACCCCACCTACTTCGTGATACTGGACAAGACCACTGATATGTATGATGTAGTCATCACTCACGCTATCACTACCGGCTCTAATTATTACTCCCGGATCTGCAATGTCCAACAAAATAGTCATTTTAGTAGGGTCGGTAGCTCACTAAGAGAAGCAAGACCGCTCGTATCAGGCCGAAGCCTTGAATGTTCCGACTGCCTTTTAAGGTCTATGGAGCATTAATAAAATGAAAAATATCAATGTAATAGATAAAATAAAAATGAAATTTTTTGAAAAAAATTTGAGATTTTATCTAAAAACATCCCCCCACACGTCATATTAAGTACAAAGTAAATAAGTTAAGGTAAAAATAAGTGCTAATCAAGTTACGATATTGGGCTACAGATAGAAACAAACATTTTTGACAAGTTCTTCGAGACACAGGAGAAATAAGCAAAGCAGTGGGACCAGCCACGATTTTTCAAAAAAAAAAAAACAATTTTTCACTAAAAAATTAATTACCTACAAACTAGGAAGATTTAACCAATGGCCATTATATCAATATCAACATACGATACTGAGCTACAGAAAGCAACAAACATTTTTGAATAGTTCTTCGAGACAGAGGAGAAATAAGCAAAGCCGTGGGACGAAACACGATTTTTCAAAAAAACCAATATTTCACTAAAAAATTAATTACCCAAAAATGAGGACGAAATAACCAGTGGCCATTATATCAAAATCAAGCTATGATATTGGGCTACAGATAGCAATAAACATTTTTGAATAGTTCTTCGAGACAGAGGAGAAATAAGCAAAGCAGTGGGAAGAGCCACGATTTTTCAAAAAAACCAACTTTTCACTAAAAAATTAATTACCCAAAAACTAGGACGAAATAACGAGTAACCATTATATCAAAATCAAGCTATGATATTGGGCTACAGATAGCAATAAACATTTTTGAATAGTTCTTTGAGACAGAGGAGAAATAAGCAAAGCAGTGGGCGAACCACGATTTTTCAAAAAAGCCAATTTTTCACTAAAAAATTAATTACCCAAAAACTAGGACGAATCAACCAGTGGCCATTATATCAAAATCAAGCTATGATATTGGGCTACAGATAGCAACAAACATTTTTTGAATAGTTCTTTGAGACAGAGGAGAAATAAGCAAAGCCGTGGGACGAAACACGATTTTTCAAAAAAACCAATTTTTCACTAAAAAACTAATTACCCAAAAACTATGAGGAAATAACCAGTGGCCATTATATCAAAATCAAGCTATGATATTGGGCTACAGATATCAACAAACAATTTTGAATAGTTCTTCAAGACAGAGGAGAAATAAGCAAAGCCGTGGGACAAAACACGATTTTTCAAAAAAGCCAATTTTTCCCTAAAAAATTAATTACCTAAAAACTAGGCAGATTTAACCCGAGATTCTCTCCGTGGCGTAGCGAGAGTCTCTGTATCCTCCGGGGGGAGGGGGGAGGCATTTTACAAGAATTTAAGTCAATTTTACAACCATTATTTTAGCATTGCAAGCATTTTAGTCAATTTTGGTATTTGTAACGACACGTGACAAAAATTTTCAATCTTTTTTCTGTCATTCGAAAATTTGAAGAAAAAAAAGAAGTGGAAAAAAATCGATTTAAATCGATTTAAAATCGATTTGGATCGATTTCATTTTAGGTCAGATTTAAGATCCATTCAAATCGATTTAAAATCGACTGGAATCGATTTTTTTAGCGTTGAAATTAAATCGATTTAAATCGATTTAAAATCGATCCAAATCAATCTGAAATTTTTGTTTTGACTAACTTACTTTTTTTAAACTTAAATCGATTTCAATCTAATCTGCATACTTTATTCATACTAAAATCGAAAAATCGATCGAAATCCATTTTTGTCAGTGCGGGTAACCATTTAAATCAAAATAGCTAACGGTTTTGTTGTCGCACAAGGATTCGTCGCAGAAAAAAAAGAAAAGAAGAATTGAACTCCCCGATAAAAAATTCCGTCTAAACTCTAACTAGATGTCAGTGATAACTGATGGATATCCACTACCCTGCTCGAAGGATATCCACTACCCCTGATTTTTTTGAAAATTTTAAAAATTGTTATTGGAATTTGTATTTCGATCTGAAAACGGCCTTTATATGATGTATCACTTGATATTCTCTAACCTATATTGCGTAGAAAACGAACACTCTAATGGCTAATTTAGAGGCGGAGTGGGGGAGGACCCCTCGCCAGGTATTTGAAACCGCAACCAACCAAAAGGTACTAATTTACGATTTTTTCTAAACATCGACCAGCACTAATATTTCTCTTAAGAAATATTAGAAGAAATAGCCCTAGAGTTCAAGAAAAAGCCCTAGAAGAAATAGCCACAAGAAGTAATTTTTTCAATTTTTGAAAAAGTTGTTTGCTGTATATTAGTTTTATTGGCAAAATAGGATTTTTTGAAGTAAGGATTCCAATAAAACATTTGATCTTTGAGCTCCTAGAAACTCTATGCAGAAGGAAAGAGTTTTTGGTGAAAACTGTCAAAAATTGCCTAAAACGCGTTTTTTTGCTTTGGGATAGCTTGAAAAGTCAATTTGGTCTACCAAAAAAATTTCGACAGTCATAACGAGGCCAAACTGTGCGTTTTGTGCATTGTAAGCGGATTCCGCAACAAGGACGCTCCCTTTGTTCTTCTTTTGTTCTTTACTTTCCTTTGATCGTTCCGACAAAATTTTCACATGTTTAAAGACTTGTTTCTGGAATCCAGGAACATACAGACACAAAATTGTGCTCCTATCCAGTGCACAGTTTGGCCTCGTAATGGTTTTTTAAAAAATTTTATGAAATTCCACCCTCGAGAAAATTCAACATTTGCCCCTGAGTCATATTTCTTTCTTGCCCTTAAGAGGGTGTAGTCAGAAAAAATGCAGTTTCTTACAAACTTGTTATTCTTAATACATGTCCAATAATTTATCAAACTTGCAAGAGACATAAAATGGCGCGAAAGATTTGTTATATTTATTTTTTGATGAACACATAAGCGTGATCATCAATGGTTTTCAAATTGTGCATCCTCAGAAAATTGATCATCATTTTGGCGTTCCCATGACTTGCCTCTTCATCACCAACGCTGAATGTTTTCTTTTCGACCGATACAATATCGAAATCGTCTCCCAGTTTATTCACCAGTTGTTCATGCGGAACACTGTATGGAATCCCATTGTAAATCGATAAGTCATACTGGTAGAGTCCAGTCAGCCATCGACATCCAGGGGCGGTGAGGAGCTTCATCTGGTCATAATACTTCATCCGGTCATCGAACTCAATCTGAGCCCCACTTTCCCAAACTGCTTCGAATTGACCTTCAATTTCGGGTCCAAATTTGAAGAAATCACAGCAGTAAACTTTGATTTTGCCATCTTTGCTTTCAAACAGTTTTCCCTCTATTTCAGGAACGGTTTTTTCGGTGTAATCAATTTGATCACGCTCGAATATTTCTCGACACGGCCGCTCGCAGAACTCGACTCCGACAGTGACATGACCCTTGTCGGCCAAATATTTGATGTCGCACGTTTTCCCACAGAGGGGCACCAGCACTTTTTTCAGGGGTTCTCCCTCGGGGGCTAAATTGGAATAGTGTTTCATTAAGTTCCAGTTCACAACAGGACGATGCCATGGTGCGATTCCGTTCTCGTAACGAGTGTTGTAAAAATCAAAAGAGTCTGTATACTCGTTTTGCATTAGTGTACTGCTCATTTTTGTTAATTGTTTAGTTTAGCAAGAAAAAGATGAAAATTTACAAATTGTCTTCAAAGTCTTTGAAATTTGTTCAAGAGCCGTTGCTCAGTGCCTGAAAAATAGTTCAAGAATGCGAGTTGTAAAATCTATCAACTATGAAGATTTGTATCTATCCAAAGCTAGATTAGGTTAAACTACACAGATAAACTCAAATAAGCAAAATGTGAAGTGTATCTGAGAATTTGACGTGTTTGACTTTTGGCTCTTTTGTGGTAAGTTTTAATCTTCTTGGCTCACTGGTCTCTCTAAAGTTGAAACTTACACAGATTAAATGAAAGTAAGTGTGGGGCAAGGAGCGATAACCTTGACTGGAGAAGTTCCACTTGGTTAATCAAGATTGCCTTTTTTGTTATATCGCTTATAATCTTATTGTCAATGTCTTCAGTTAAACACCACAAACTTATTTTCAAGATGGCGTCAACATGATCATAGATAGGTTGACTAATTCGCAAGAATGAGATCTTATTATGAAACTCGCCACTCTTTTCCCCCAACTTCTCAATTTTTATCTGCATTTATGTTAGACATAAAAATAAACAAAAAACTTTGAGTTACGAAACTAGAAAACACCTCAAATTTTAAAAAACCAATTCTTCGAGGCTAAAATACCAGAGCAGAGGGGCGGATCTAAAATTTTCTCGAGGGGGGGCGGATTTTCAAAAAGTTTTGAAAACTTTGTGGACTTTTCTTTTAGGTCGACCAAATTGATTTTCTGAGCTCTTCCGAATGACTGTAAAGACCCTATTTTGATATCTCTACGCCGCAGGCAAAATTATAAAGAAAAACATGCCAAAAAAGCATTTTTAGGCACTTTTTGGAAAACTTTGACCAAAAATCGTCTCCCCACTCAAAAATAAAATACGCTAAAAATCGCTCTCGTGTTCACTTTCTAACAAGATGTAACAGAATCAACTTAAATTCAATCCATACTCAGTGGCCAATGGCAAGACTTTCAGTTCACGTTAAAATCAACGTTGGCCTCGACTATCATCATACGTGACATAGAAAAGTGAATTAAAAATATCGAAAATTAACGGTACATTTGTACATAACATTCGCAGGAAATCAACCGCAATGCCACTCAAAAAGACTGTTTTGCGAATTGTTTTAACAAAATACTTTCTTGACTTACAATTATAAAATGTCCTTTAGGCGCATATCTTTTGATGACAGGCAGACCCTGATCTAGAATTATTTCGAAAAAAAAATTAATAGCAAAATTTGAATTCAAAAATCATCAAGTTTCAAGAAATTTATACAAAAAAGAGTCTGCCAATTTGTGACGGCAAAACTGTCTATGACATCATGAACATATATTTTCACTTCTTTGTGGATATATACTAAAGCTAAACTCGATAAGCGATCTTCTTTCATGTTAGATCGTAGGTAGTTCTTCAGCAGTTTCATACTGGAGAATGAGTGTTCGGCATTGGAAACTGTTACTGGAAGGGTTGCTCTAATTTGGAGCAGGGGGTACACGACTGGCATTGTCGACTTGTGACAAATTTTTAGGGCCTCAGTGAAAATTTCTGGTATACCGCTGTAAGGTGGAAGCGCCACATATTCCTCTAGACTTGGAACTTGCTCCTAAAGTCACCATCTGCCAGTACGTTCTGGTACATATCAAACAAGTCGTCAAAATCTTCTTCAGTTACATCTTTGTCTGAAATTCTGACTGGTCAATAGGGTTGATTTTGGTCATAAAGTTCAGTCATTTGGAGATTTAAGCGTTCAGGTTACTATTATAAAGATCTCCAATAACGAGTGATAATTATGTGAATTTGCTTTTGTCTGGTTTTCATCATTTGTAAAAAACACGAACAATGGGCATTAGATGAATACAAAAAGAACGTGGAACAATTTGTTCAACTACAATGCAAAATTTCGAAGCATCAAAGGGTCTGAGCAAGATGTATGAAAACAAGGAGCAAGATGTTCACAAAACTAATTTATACTTTCAAACAAACTTTGCATAATACGCTTTTTTGTAATATTTTGTTCGCCAATTTTTTAACTTTTTAATAATTGAGTTTTCATTATCAAGCAAGTGTTCGTCAAATTGTGTTTGGTTAAGCAAAGTAAGTTTTCATTTACTTGGGTGCTTTTTTGAGGGGAATAAGTTTTTTTTATATAATAAGGTGATTATTGGGGGAAAATTGACATGTAAGATTCTAACTAATTGTCGGGGTTAAAACAGATTTCGTCCATCGAGAGATTTTGGAGGGTTTGATTGAAATCGACAGTTTTTGTTCTGTTTCAATTTTTCCCCTATTGCATAAACTCACTTCGAGTCACCTGGCTGTAGGCGCCACTCGCGGCATTTCCGTTAACCTTTCGTTTCTCGAAACTAGTTAGCTTTTCAAATGGATCAGCCCGGCTGTGTGCATTCAAAATTTCAAAGTAATAACTTTTTAAAAAAGGACAAAATCTGCTGGTTTATTAAAAAGGACCAAATTAAAAAAAAATTTTTACTAGGACCAAATCTGTCGAGGGAAAAATCTGTTAGCAGTAAATGTCGGGCCTAAATTGATTATTCCGTTGCTGTTTTTACTCATGCTCTTCAAAATACTTCATGCTGTGTAGCTTAATTGTTCCTCTGCAAATTCAGATATTCGTTAAATTAAAAAAAATTATAGTTGAAAATAATAAAACACTACAGAAGCTACTCAATTACTATTTTCGTATATAATAAGCACGTGGAACAAAATTATAAATAAATTTTGGAACAACAAGAAAAATATTACAGAAAAACCTCAAAATTAAAAAAAATCAACTTAAAACTTAATCGTTATAAATGGTTTTCATACATCCAAAATATCATTGTTTGAAGCGTTTGAAAGAGCCTCTATCTGTTTTCTAGCTTGCATTCCGGTCATTGCTCCTCCATTTGAAGCTGCCAGCGCGTAAGTGGGCGCTGCTGCGTACATATTTGACGGTTGACACGTGTTCGGGTTATTCTGCTGGGTGAACATCTGTTGGATTTTCGACTTTGAGAACGGCAGTGTTGTCGGCAGTTTGTGTTCTCCGACGTATATTCCAGCGGACGCGCGGGAGTGAAGACTGCCTGCACCTCCTGTGTTGTAGGGACACCCCCCGTTCATCAGGGCGTAGTTGGGGTGGGAGTGGGGGTGGGGGTTGAGCATGGACTGTTGCAAATCAGTGGAGTTTGCAGCTGAGGGGTGGATGTTGTTGCCGGCTGTCGTCAGAGTGCTCCGAATGCCTGTTCAAAGAGACAAAATCTGTTTGACATGCGTTGCAATAGTTTGTTTCCGTGTGGATAATGTAAAAGAGGGTTTAACTTGATCTATAAAATTATCCAATCGGCGGGTATGGACGTGTAAAAAAAGATACCTGTAAAGCAAACGCGTGAAACTTTATAGCAGAATTCTACAACTCAGGATTTTTTCAAGGTTTTTAGCTTATGTGCCTGCTGCTTGTTTGAAATAATCAGGGCTAATTTTATTCGATATTAAGGTTTGTTTTAATAATCTAAATTCTCATTTCTTAAGCGTAATAAATTATAGATGCTCATCTAGTAGCACTTTTTCCAAAATATTTTTATATCATGCCCACCGATGTGTTTCTTTTTGTAGTTGTCCCACAGGGCTGCCACCAGTTCGCTCACTATGATGGAGTTGGTGTTCTTGCTCAGTAGTCGTATCATGAACACCCCGTCTGGACGCAAGTAGACATTCACAAAGCGACGACACAGCCTCTTGTCCTCCTCAGTGTTGTATCTACAAACAGCAGGATTCACCACTGGTCGCTATCGTAGAATTTTTTACTAAGAAATCTTTCAATGTACAAAATTAGGCTCTAAGAACTTTACAAAAAAAGGACTTTTTCTTATTACACAAAGTTGTAGGAAGTTTTGCTGTGAATTTCATTCCTGGGTTGAGGTGTTCGACTTATATTTTGACCAAATTCGGTCGAACACTCGGATAATGTGCGAACCACAATTTCGAAACATTATAATCAAAAAATAGGCGAGCACTATTTCGGTTCATGGTCGATGACAAAGTCAAAATAAAATTTGGTCGAAACATAGTCAAACACAAAATATGGTCGAAACATAGTCAAACACAACATATGGTCGAAACATAGTCGAACACAAAGTCGAGCTTAAACAAAGTTGAAACAAAGTCGAACAAAAAGTCGAATACAATGTGTGGTCGAAACATAGGCGAGCACTATTTCGGTTCATGGTCAAAGGCAAAGTCAAAAATGATTTTTGGTCGAAACAAAGTCAAACACAACATTGGTCGAGTCATAATCAAACACAAAGTCGAGCTTAAAATAAAGCCGAAACAAAATCGAACAAAAAGTAGAATACAATGTGTGGTCGAAACAGTTGAACAAAAAGTGCGGTCGAAACATAGTCGAACACGGTCTCGAAACATAGTTGAACACGATTCCGGTTCGCGGTCGATTCATGGTCGAAGAAAAGTCAAAAATAAGGCTTAGTCGCAACAAAGTCAAACACAAGATAAGATCGAAATATAGACCAACCCAAGAAATAAATCCCACACGTAGTCGATTTTAAAGTAATACTCACACGTAGTCGAACAAAAGTCCAATACAATGTGTGATCGAAACATGGGCAAACACACAGTGCGGTCAAAACAACGTCGAACACGGTCACGAAACATAGTTGACCGCACGGAGAATGAGCTTCAACTGATCTTGGACAAAATTCAGAGAAGCGGTATTTTGCGAAAAACTAGTAATTATTAGTTTTAATGTACTAAAGAAAAAAAATTTAAGATTTTCATGCCATCCAAATTAAAAAATCTGATAAATCAAAAATTAAGTTGAGTCTATGTCAGAACGAAAATATTAACTTATTATACTAGTTGGTGGTGAAAAAGATCAAGGTTAAACAACTTTTGAATTACATAATCTATACAGACTCCATTACGAGGCCAAATTGTGCATTCTCTGCATTGTAAGCGGAATCCGCAACAGGTCAAAATCAGATTTGTCGCGGAATCCGCAACATTGCTACTTTTCTTTGATCTTCTATGCTGTTTTGGATTCCACAAACAAATACCTCAATCATTGTACCGCTCAAAATCGCTCGAAAAATAGGCGAATTTGCTGAATCCGCAACTGTATTTGCGTAATACAGAAGAGTTTGTGGAATCCACAAACAAATGCTAAAACATTTGTATTGTTAAATTAAGCTGTTGCGGAATTCTCAACTGTAAGTGGAATCCACAAATGGTAAGTGGAATCCGCAAATTGTAAGTGGAATCCGCATTTTGTTTGAGGATTCCCGATACATATATTTATATGTGTAGTAGCCTTTAAAATTATATCTTTTTAATACATGATTTGATTTCACTAGAATAGAAGATTACTAGAATAGATCAGTGTTTGGGATTAATGGAATCCCAATTAATTACTGACCAGTATTTGGGATCAATGAAATCCCAAATACTGAACTAATTCGACGATTTGCTATGCGTTGGGTTTCTAATCACTCTCAACCTAATGACTCCAAATAATGGATATATTCCATATTTATTCCACATTATTCCAGTTTTTGGGATTTCATCAATCCCAAATGCTGACCAGTATTTAGGATCGATGGAATCCCAAATACTGAACTATTTTGACGATTGCTATGCGTTGGGTTTCTAATCACTCTCAACCTAATGACTCCAATTAATGGAAATAATCCATATTTATCCCAGCTTTTGGGATTTCATCAATCCCAAAAACTGACCAGTATTTGGGATTGACGAAATCCCGAATACTGACCTAATTTGTCGATATGCTGTGTGTTTCATACACTCTCAACTCAATGACGTCAAATATTGAAATTTTCCGGTATTGTGTTTCCAAAATACTAAAAAATGACATCCACCGATTTAGTTAACCAATGTTTTAGGACTTGTTCGTGGATTCCGCTGACAATGGTTAAGTCTTTGCTTTCAAAATCCGCATTGCTAGAGATAAGAATTTCAGCTAGCTTTTATTTGTTCATATGCAAGTTCAATATTGAACAAAATTCGGAATCCACTCACAGTTTGCGGAATCCACTTACATTTGCGGATTCCGCTTACAATTTGCGGAATCCACTGACAGTTGCGGGATCCAGAACAACTAGCTATATTTGCTTGTTGCGGAATTCGCAACAAAACAAATGTGCCGACAAAATTTACGTTACAGGTATTTGTATGCGGAATCCGCTGAAATTTTGTTTGTGGAATCCACTTACATTTTGGAACATATTTTAAGACTTGTCTCAGGAATCCAGGAACATACAGACACAAAATTGTGCTCCTATCCAGTGCACAGTTTGGCCTCGTAATGTCTGAAAAAAGTTTGGTCGATACAGCCAGTTTTGGTCGAGTCGGTCGAAACATAGCACGCTAGGGTTGAACGCAGTCGAACATATTTTTGCTTCAGTTGAGTCGGTCTAGATATAGCCGGTTTGAATCGAGTCCGTCGGAACATAGCCTTCTTTGGTCGGGTCGGTCGATACATAGCCATCTTTGGTCGAGTTGGTCGAAACATAAGTCGAACACCTCAACCCGGGTTCATTGTATAATTATTTCTAACCACTGAGCGGTAATAACCTTGATCAAAAACAAAATTGAGAAAACTGCCTTAGATTATGATGACGATGATATTTGATATTCGGTCATTAATGTAGCTGTGTCCTAATTTATAACCAATTTTTTAAGAAAATTGATCAAACCTAACGCTGTTAGATTCAAAAACTTTGGCTCTATTTCGGTAAGATTATGCCTATTTCGGTAAGATGATGCCTGTCAATGATGCCTGTAATTTTTTCTGAATATCGAAAGGGTGGTTCATTTGAACAACAGTGGAGCTAAGCTGACCTCTCTGTGAACTTGAGGTGTTTCTTGATGTAGCTGAGTCTGTCTAGGAAGCAGACACTCCTCACAATCCACTCGAGGAAGTTGATGGAGGTGACTATGGCGATGAACATGAGCCAGAACCACACAAACAGGTAGATCTTCTCATTGAACAGATTGATGCTCAACACACACTGCACTGTGTACTGCTGCACGTTGCCTAAGAAACAAGAAAGAAATTAAAAACATTTTTTTACTGGATTTTGTCTTGTTAATTATCTCCTACCCCCCATGTTTTGATGCAAGGCAAGTGGGTGCTTTGTAACAAAGTACACATATTTGCTTAGCTGTTGAAATAGTTCTTCAAAGAGGTGGAAAATCTTTATTTGGTATCATAGGGAGGATGGTTAACAAGATCCTTCTTACCGAATTAGAAGCGATAATTAGTTTGTTTTAGTTATGCTATTTAAAAAAAATAATAAGTAGAAGAATAATGCGACGCATCCATCTTTTCAATTAGGAAATTTGATAACTGAATCTATTTTTTGGTTGTTTAATTTCTGATAATGATTAAGATAGCCCCCAATGAAATCACTTTTCGATCCGTAGCTCAAGGTAGCTTAACTTTGAAAGCACTTCTAAAGATATCTATTCTCAAGCACGATTTTAATAGCACCTTTGCAAATATTTCTGTGATTTTGAACACGATGATATAATAATGAATTTGATGAAAATTTGACTAAAAAGAGTTCAGAAATAGAAGACAAACAAACACATTTCACAAAAAATTTGAAATAACCGGATCCAGTTCAAATCAAGCATATTGAGAATATAAGCTTTTAAAATTAAATTAACAATTTAGAAGGAAGATTTCATAGAATCCGAACTCTCTAATTCAGACAGCATAAAAATTTAAACAATAGAAAATAGTCTAATGTTAGGCTTACTTCCTCAGATGTCTATAAAATGGGAAAAAAACTAGGCTAATTTCACCAAATATCGACGTTTCCACAAAGCGATCACCCACCGAGCACCCTGGTGGTGAAGTCGCATAGAGTGACTTGTGGGAATCTGGGGGAGTTTTCCCAGTTCTGTCCAATCCACAGACGTCGAAGCACGTCCAGTCCGTAGAAGCGGTAATCATAGCCGAGCCACAGATCCAGGGCTATAATCTGGACGCAGACATTGGTCAAGCAGAGTGCCTGCGTCGCTCAAAGGTCAAAGGTTTGTGTACAGTTGAATAATATTACTACTCAATTTGGTTAAATTTGATTTGGAAGAAAGTACAGATTTATATAATCAAAAGTTATTACAACGATACAGAAAAATTCAAACTGTTCTGGCGAGATGCTACAGGAACTAAAATTGATCCAACACCTTTTTTGCTTTTTTGTATCAGCCAAGTCACAAGCGAAACCCGATAAAAAGTTCTCAAATGAGGTCGCCGGCGTGGTTTGACCTTTGAGGCTAAGTATGAGATGATGAGGAAGTTTCCGTATCGTCTGCTGCACACCGGGAGGATGATGGCCCTGGAGAGGAGTGCCCGGACCCTCTTTCCCACACTACGCTGCGACCCCTCCACCTCCCGATGACTATACATTAGCAACACCATCTCAGCACTAGGTTTTTCTTTCAGTTTCCCTACCCCTCGTTAACTTGGAATATAAAGTTGCCTTAAAGAGTTCCGTACTTTCTTCGATAGTCAGATCAAAAACTGTTCAATTGCATGATTTTTTTTTACTTTGTTCACTTGTTAACAGCTATCATACAAAAAAATAAATTTGTAAACAAGCAAACTGTGCTCTGAGTTAAGCTTCTCTCTTAAAATTAACCAGATCCTGAGGAGCTAACCACAGTTTTAAAAAAACGCCTCCGCCTATTCACAGCCAGAATAAATTAATTTGAACAATTCCCTCCCAATTGACTATGTATAGAGTATAGACGAGGCTCGGGTTGACGTACATAAAAGAAAAATACTTATCATACAATTTTACATATGGCGACTATGGAATAAGCTTATCATAACAATTTTCATACAAAATTTAAAAACTGTATTAAACGTTTTTAGAGAAATACTTCTGTTCTATTTCCATCTTTTGAATCTTTCTGCTCGATAAAAACATGATTTTAATTTTGTCAACCGAGGGGTTTTGAATCTAATTGATTCAGGTTTGACCTTTTCCACTCTTGTTACTCGAAAAAATCAATAAGTTCAATAAGTTACATAACACTGTGGGTCGAAATCAAGGAAGCACGTTTTGCCTCTCTCTCGCTCCATTTAATTAAAGCAGCTCTCATTTCATTCCTCGAATATTTTCTTTTTTAAAGTACCGCAATGAATGAAGGGCGAAATGTGTGAGGGGTCAAATGAGTTTCTATAAATAGATCTAGATAGATCAAGAGATAAGCGAAACATGCTTCCTTGATTTCGAGAAACAATGTTATATAACTTATTGAACAATTTTCTTTCTTTTTTAAAGTAACAGTGGTGGACAGGTCAGATAAACCTGAATCAATTCAATTCAAACCTTGCGTTTAAGAATATTTTATTCATAGGTACTTTGGTTTTTTTAGTCATAAAGTATTACCTGTCACTTTTTGAGCATTTGAAAATTGAATTTCGGTAATTGCTTTTCTTTTACCAAAACGGGTGGCAATTTCCTAGCTTTGTAAAGGCTTCAGCTCAATGCTAAAACAGCTTTACAGGTTGCTACAAAAAGATTTTCTCAGGAAAAGGGCGGTTCGCTTTCCCTGAAAAATTAAAATTGAGGAAGCTTCAGAAGTTTCGACAAAAGAGAACCAATTCCTAAAAATTGGGAGACAATTTAAAGACATTTAGAAAAACAAAGAAGACATAATTTAATTCCCACTCATCGTAAAAAATCGTATCGCTTCGTTGTTAGTTGAACCTGAGACAAAATTTGTCAAAATGGGCAGCCGTGTATTGGAGTGTCCTGGCCCATCTTCTGTTTTCGAACGTGAATTCGAAGCTATTGAGGATGCCGACCATTTTGGGCAGATTGATACCGGAAGTGAAGCAGGTGGCCCGCCAGAGTACTTTGGGGAGAGTGAATAGAATGGCTTGGATTGAGAGTAAAATGGGAACCCATTGGTAGTAACGGATCTCCACAGCTAATTACACGACACATTTGAGGAAAGATGTTGACCAGCGTTTGAATTGAGATATAATTTAACTTTAAATTCTATATTTAAGTGAGTTGACATAAATTACCGAAGTTGAGTTCAAGCAATATTTTTGTGTTAGCTTTACTCTTGCCAAACTTAGGTCAAAAATGTCATAGAACAGTGCAGGGGGCGGATCTAGGATTTTCTCGACGGTAAGCGGATTTGCAAAAATTTAAAATTTGTCGACCTGACCTTTTTTAGGTCGTCCAAATTGATTTTCTGAGCTCTACCCATGCACTGAAAAGACCCTGTTTTGGCCAAACTTTCTGCGCCGCAGGCAAACTTTTAGGCAGTTTTCGGAAAATTTTGACCAAAAAACGCGCCTTTTCGGCGCACGCTCTCCCCTCAAAATTAGCATATATTGGCGCCAAAGGCTCCTTTAGAAACTTTTTAGGGTCCGTCACCAAGTATGGATATCTCACAATAGTACAAAGGGGGACCCTTAAGGCCGGCAAGGGGTCGAATCCCTGAGGGGAGGTGTCCGCCCGCCCCCACAATCCGCCCCTGGAACAGTGCAAAATTTGGTCTGCGAGTTTTCAAAAATCATAAAAAACAAGTTGCCAACATTTACTGGTTCGTTGGCATTTTCTATTGAAAAGACATATCGGTTGGCGTTTTTAACTGAATTAAAACACATACACAGGTGAACATCAGACCTCTCCTATAGTGGACATTGTTAAGTGCGATGTGATTGTCGAATGAGATAAAGTAAGTGTTGGAAATCCAGCAGATGTTGTCAGTATACTCCACCCATGCGCGGGAAAAGTGGGCTGGGCACCAACAGTTGATTGGTTCGCCTGGTTGAGAGAGAGAGAAAGAAGAGGAAAAGAGACACTGGCGCAATGAAAAACTTCAACTTGATGACTTGCCCGGGTCAACTTCCATGCTCAAAAAAATGCTTGTCATACATTTTCATAAATGGTAAAATGGTGTTTAATGGGAAATTGCTTATCAAACAATTTCATACAAGATAATGCTTGTCATTCCTTTTCATAGACGGATTGCAAGGAGAAAAAAACGTATCATACAGTTTCTATCAATAAAAATTGCATGATAGAATAAAATTTTCCAAAATAAAAAGGGGACATTTTTCTCTTCTTTTTTTCGCAAAATCGGTTCACTGCTCTAAAATGTGATTTTTTATAAAGTAGAACAGATGAAAAATTTTTGATACAAAAATCAAAATGGACTATGAAATATATATGTGAACGCAAATTTAATACTTTGTATTTTAATATGACAGACAAAACAAGACTGCTCGTATCAGGGCGAAGACCTGAATGTTCCGACTGCCTTTTAAAGTTTATGTAGCAGCAGTAATAACATAAAAATTTAAATGAAATAAAATAAAATGAAAATTTTTTTTCTAAAATTTGAAATTTTTTATGAAAATCATCTCCCCACACGCCATATAAAGTACAAAATGAGAGATTTCGTTCCTTTAAACAAATCAATTGTGGCAAATAAGCTTCGTTCAACCAATTTGGAACGATTTATAAGACGGATTAAATCTCCGCTTACGCGTTAATAGCGCGAATTATATCGCGCGTTAATTGTCCCAAATTGGTCAAAATGGCCAGTATGGCAATCTTTAAACCCTCATAACTTTACGAAACATGATCACAGGTGAAATATCTTTACAAATTTAAGCTCAGGACAACACTGGCTTTCGAATGATATAAGAAATTCCGTCAAAAATGGCTAGTTAAAAAGTCGAAATTTGTCTGAAGAAAAAAAAACCCACCCCGAGCACAAATATTCCGTTACTTTCGTATCGAAAGTCGGAACAATAAAATCGGTTAAAACATAGCTCATAATTTTCAGTGAATGACAAGAAGACGGTTCTGATCCAGACAGTGAACTTAACAGCCAGAGTTGAGATTCAGTAAAGCAACTAATAATGGAGCCTCTTCGAAAACCACGGATATACAAAAGTTGACTAACTAAAGGTTAAAAGAACAAGACTGCTCGTATCAGGGTGAAGCCCTGAATGTTCTAACTGCCTTTTAAGGTTTATGGAGCAGTAATCACATG